CAAAATAATTTTGATAGTTCGGAAAGTGGGATGAAATGAAATGGGGGGGAAAACAGAGAAAAGTGTACAGTCCTACACTTAAGTAATAAACTTCAAATGAACAGGTATAGGATGAGGGGTGCCTTATTTAGTAATAGCAGCTTATGGTTGGATGAGTTCTTTGTCCCTGTTGTACGGTGATTTGGCCCATAGATACCTGAATGACTACTGGATAGAAACAATATCTATTTTCTGTTTCTTCATGCTCTCCTATCAAGTGGCCATTCAGATTTTTTTTCCCCAGACCAGATCAAATCTGGCAGGTAATCTGACTAAAATAGCTGTGTATGATCTCCTTTGCCTCCTGTTCTTAATTCTGGAATCTAAATAACTTTCTCGATCACCGAAAACCATCCTCTCAAAACCTGAAATTTTGAAATCTTCTTTAGAAGATTTAATTTGAGGTGCTATACCTTTAAAACTTTTGGAAAGTTTTTACATCTCTCAAAAATCCTTGCCCGAGTAATATGTTCCTTTCTCTTCCCCTCCCCCCAGTCTGTGTCACAATGAAAGACCAAACCAGATAAAATTCTTACATTACCTCCACCCATGAATTGAAAGAGATAATTGTTTGGAATGTTAAATGTCTCACTCAATATCCTTCAACTTTGGCAACTTTAAGACATGTAGCCTTCTATTCCCAGAATTCTGGAAGTTGAAGTCCATACGTCTTAAACTTGCCAAGATTAAGAAACTCTGGTTTAAGTTTTATTTGTCAACCAGAATGACAAGGCTTAGATAGAGTTTTTAATTGTCACATTGGATTGCCCTTTTATGTCATTATGCCTCATTTCTTTTTTCTTGAAGATCCAACGTAAGAAATAAATGGGTTAAATGCTAGATTTAACAGGAAATTACATTGAAATAAAGTACCATTCATCATCCTTTATCATTATCTATCCGTGTTTTTAATTTTGCTCATTGTATGTATGCACGTAAAATTACACTTGTTTCTGAGTTGGTGAATTCAGAATATTAGTAAAAATTGTTATAAGAGTGTGAAGTACTTTGGACTTGATCCCCCAAAGGTCCTTCAGAGTGCAGCATTTAGGAAGCAAGTACAGCATCTCTCTAAAATTCTTCAAAGCTAATTCAAGAGCTGGTTTAAGCCCTATATGGCTTAGGCTGTTAGTATTGCAAGATCTGGATCAATTGAGAATACAAAGAAGGTCTGTTGCAGATGTGGTAAGAGGAAGATCAAAAGTGGGCGTTCTCTATGATGTCTCTCATACTTTGGAACTGGCTAGAATGTCAAGAAAATGATATTAATTATTGAATCTGTAGTGTATGTGTGTGTGTGATGTTCAAGGAAAAGGTTCCCCCACACATAGGTGCTAGTCATTTTTGGCTCTAGGGGCGGTGCTCATCTCTATTACAAAGTCGAAGAGCCAGCGCTGTCCAAAGACGTCTCTGTGGTCATGTGGCTGGAATGACTAAACGCCAAAGGCGCACGGAACGTTACCTTCCCACCAAAGTGGTCCCTATTTTTCTACTTGCATTTTTTACGTGCTTTCGAATTGCTAGGTTGGCAGAAGCTGGGACAAGTAACAGGAGCTCACTCCGTTACACAGCGCTAGGGATTCGAACTGCCAAACTGCCGACCTTCCTGATCAACAAGCTCAGCATCTTAGCCACTGAGCCACCGAATCCCGTGTGTGTGTGTGTGTGTATATGTGTGTGTGTGTTTTTTCTTTTATTGTATATTGTATGTTGTTCTTATTGCATTGGATTTGGTATACAGGTAATCCTCGACTTACAACAGTTTAATTTAGTGACCATTCAAAGTTACAACGGCACTGGAAAAGGTGACTTATGACTGTTTTTCACAGTTACAACCTTTGTAGCATCCCCATGATCAGAATTCAGATGCTTGGCAACTGGTTCACATTTATGATAGTTGCTGTGTCCCAACTCACATGTTCCCCCTTTGCGACCTTCCAACAAGCAAAGTCAATGGGGAAGCCCAATTCACTTAACAACCAGGTTACTAACTTATCAACTGCAGTGTTTCACTTAACAAGTGTGGCAAGAAAGGTTGTAAAATGGGGCAAAACTCACTTAACAAATGTCTTACTTAACAACAGAAATTTTGGGCTCACGTGTGTTCATAAGCCGAGGACTACCTGTCCTGCTAGAATTGCCTTGATGGAAGCAAGCAAGCAAGCCACCACATCTTTTCCCAAAAGCAGAGGGAAGCTTCCTGTCCAGGAAAAGATGCACCTGGTGCCACATTTGCACTCCACAACAGCTCTTTGGAGTTGGGCCCACAGTGCTATGTAACTACTACTGGTCTATAATGAAACCATTCAAAGTAGGATTAAGATGAGGACGTGTTTGACTAAAAAAATGAATGCAAAGAAATCAAGGTCTTCATGTTCAAAATAAAAGTGTGAAAAATAATTATTGCATTTTTAAAAGAAATGCATGCTTGGACCTTAACCTAATATTTGCAATTAACCTGATGTTTGCAATTCCTATTAGTGTAACCAGTGGCTGAGATAATGGGACTGTGGCCCAACACAAGTCATGAAAATGGGCAACATACAGTAGAAAGAGGGGAGGGAAGGGAGGGAGGGAGGAGTAAAAAAGGAAGGAAGGAAGAGAGAGAAAGAAAGAAAAAGAAAGAAAGAAAGAAAGAAAGAAAGAAAGAAAGAAAGAAAGAAA